CCACACACACCCTGTGAATAAATAATATCTTTTAATTAGTGAAATTTAAGTCAGATACATATCTTGAGAAGTAATGAGCTTCATAGAAAGAAGGCCTTATTGGATCAAAGTCAGTTTAAGATAAGGGCATCTCAAGGTCACCGAGGGAGCTGCCCAGCAGGGCCATTTGCATAAAAAATTACTGTTAGAAATAGGCCAGCAAGGCAGCCCTGGCATTTTGATCTCTTGGCCTTTGTCATGGAGATTCCTTGCAGAGAAGGGAGGAAGGCCAGTGTCCCAGATAATGATTAACTGTTTTAATGGCATTCATTCATTCACTCACTCATTCTGCACTAACTACTCATGCAGAAAAAAGGGTTATGTAAAATGACATTAGAAGAAAATCATTTGTAATCGTTGCATCGGGGCTGCACTTTGAGGAGACATTAGGAGTAAATCCGTGGCGTGGTAGGCTTATGCTTTATCTTCTGATATTTACTGAGTTTACTGGTGCATGAAAAGCTTTCAGGAAGAATAGCAGATGGGATGGACCTTTTATAGGTAATGCTATCTACTGGGTTATTACTTCTATATATTGATAGTGAAGTAATCTTCAAAATATCACTCTACAAAATATAGATTATTTAAATGTTTTTAACAAAAAAAATATCCTATAGCAGAGCTGCTGCTATCATTTTCTACCTATTGGATCAGAAACCTTAAATGCTTTTTAAAACCTGAAATAATTAGAATATAGTGAGCTTGACAACATATTGTGAGGTTCTTTTTTCTCTTTTGACTTTTGGACAGCTGTAGGGAGGTATGCGTAGTTAAACTGAACGGCAAGTATTCAATTTAATTTGTCTCCTTAAATCTGACCTTTTCAATTACATAAACAAAATGAAGTGCTGGACAGACATTTTTTGAGGTCATAAAAACACACATCCTTCCTGCAGCCCAAAACTCCTTGAGGATTTTTTGTGAGATTTGAAATGGAAAAAAGCTACTTTTCATAATGTTCTCATAACATCTTTTTGTTCTCGTGTATTTTGCACTGGGTGCCAAAATAATATTTGGTGGAAGTGATTTTCACCAGCCATTATTACCAGTTAATTATAATAAGCAACTCTGGGAGAGAGTTCAATCTATTCAAACAGTTCAAATATGGTGATTACATTCAAAAATAGAAAGATTTCACAAATCTTTATGGTAATTGTTAAGGAATGGATATTAAACAATAGGTTTTTAATTGTCTGATTGAGATTATTTTTAGAATGTATTCATACCTGGATATAGTCCTTAGTTACCTTTTAAAAAATAAAATCAAGATAAAAGTGTTATTAATCTGTTTACCTCTAATTTTCACATTTTTCCATCCATTCATTTCAAGGATTGCGTAAGAGCATTAGGATAAACCTGCAAAACTCTTTCCTTCTCGAGATGTATAAAAAACTGTTTTGTGATTTATTTTTTGTTTTAAGCCATGTTAGCTAAACCCAAGTTTTCTTCTTTAAGTTTCTATTGTGCAGTGAAAATGTGTTTTAATGAAGATGTTTTTAAAAAGGCTTTTTATACCAGAAAATTCAACCTAATTAATTTCTGTGACACTTCCCATGAATACAGGGAGTGTTCGACTTACAACAGTTTGTTTAGCAATCATTCAGATTTGCAGCAGCACTGAAAAAAGTAACTTACATCCAATCCTTACAATTATAACCGTTGTAGGATCCCTATGGTCATGTAATCAAAATTTGGGTGCTTGGCAACCAGCCATGTATTTACAAAGGTTGCAATGTCTTGGTGATCTTTACAACTTTTCCAGCATGCTTTCTACAAACAAAGTCAATAGGGGAAGCCAAATTCCCTTAAAAACCACATGATTCATTTAATAAGTACAGTGATTCGCTTAACTCTGGCAAAGAAGGTCATAAAATTGGGTGCAAGAATCATTTAACATCTGCCTTGCCTAGCAGCAGAAATTCTAGTCCCAATTATGATTGTAAGTAAAACTAACAATTTCTAAAACATGCACACAGAGAAACTACTACACATACAGGAATAGAATGTTTAAACTTTATAAATAAAAATATTTTCATTGGAATTAAACAATAAAAAATAATCAAATTTACAACCACTTCTCAGTGAGTTTTCAATTTTGTATAAGTCCTGAAATCTGGATATTGTTTTTGAGAGAATCATTCTAAGCTCTCATTCCACATATATTTTGAATTGATATTTGCTCTTTATAGTAGAAACTTTAGAAAATCCTGACCAGTGGAAAGTCTTGTCCACACAAAATGAAAGCAAATGTTAACAGCAATTGGGCCTTAGATGTCCATGCAATGGGCCTGCTCACCGTGAGCCAAAGCCTTGTAATATCATACATTGGGCTTCTGGAAATCTGTAGAATGTGAATCTAAGAGGAATACATTTTTATACTTCTGTATGTTTTTTAGATTGTTTTTAATCCTGTATTTATTATTATTATAAATAACTCAAGGCAGCAAATTATCTAATATTCCTTCATCATCCTTTTTCCCCACAACCAGCTTACTTGTGAAGTAAGTTGGGCTAAGAGAAAATGACTGGCTAAAGTCACCCAGCTGTCTTTTATGCCTAAGGTGAGAATAGAACATACAATCCCCTGGTTTCTAACATGGTGCCTTAACCACTAGACCAAACTGGCTCTCTATTTTTCTCATATTTTGCTATATCTCTATGTATGTATTTATGGATGGATGGATGGATATAGATATATAGAGATACAGATATAAGAGCAGTGGTGACACAGTGGTTACAAGGCAGTATTGCAGGCTAATTCTGCCAATTGCTAGCAGCTTGATCCTCACCGGCTCTATGATGGTCATATTGGGTATCACATTAGAGTTTATATACTATCTATCTTTAGATCCATACACATATCCATATCCCACATTCCTCCCAGCAATTCTGCTTTCACTTTTAAGTTCCTCTCAGCAGGGAAGTATTTTTATGAACTTGGTAATCAAGTGGCAGATAGCAAAATGAATTGCAATTAATCCAAGAACATAACAAAAGTTAATGCATGGCTATTTTGGGGATTGACTTAGAAGTATTCCTTGATTTTTGTTGTGTAAAGAATGGTTTTTAATGTGCTACCTGCTACCACATAGTTACCAATAGGTTTCTTATGAGACACTTTTCATTTTATCTGAATTGGGGTATGGATTATAATTGATACGACTAAGTCTGCAATAATACGGACATCTGCATAGATATAAGACACGTTGAATATGGTGGTATGTATAATATAACTGCAATACATTTTTTCCAATTGGTAACAGATATAATTCCATTGCTGTTTATTGGATGGTGAAACTATATTGTTTTAATTTAGTTCATTTTAATTGGAATTTTACTAAATTTCATTGCTGCCATTTTTGTTGTTGTTGTTGTTTCAGACTAGAGCAGGACCACTCAAGAAGGCTGACTCTTATTCTGTGCAACCTGCTTCAGCATACTGTTACAACTGTGGAGAGAAAGGCCACTATGGATTTGTAAGTCTCTTAATGGTATTAATAAACAATAAATATTTGCTAGGTTACTTTACTTTCTGATAAGGTCCATATTTGTTTCTCAACTACTATATAACAAATTGCATACCCCATACTTATTTTAAAAAATCTGCAAATGATTTAGAAAAAGCTAAATTCATGTATTCCCGATCATCCTTCATATAATTTAAACCCCAAACGTATAAAGTTGGATATAGGGTTGAAGTAGACAGTTTTAAATAACTGCTATAAGAAAATAACTGAATCAATAATATTGGGATTGATAAACGAGTTTTATTAAAAAGTTCATGCAGTTTAAGTCCAAAACATATAAAAATGCACCACAAGGGCTCAGTTATTTTACAAATAACTCAAGGCGGATATGCTTACCACCCTGACTTATTTGTAAAAATAATAAAAGGCAGGATATAAATAAATAATCGTTTTTATGATTTGGAGAAAGTCAGGAAGACCATTTAATTGCATAGAGATGGAAGTCTTCGATAGATGATAAGAATATAAATAGAGCTTTTGAACAGAACTGTGATTGGGATATCAATAAATTTCATCGGGGGGGGGAGTAAAAATAAAATAGCAAAAGGAAGACATTTATTATGATAAATGTCCTATACATTATTGTATAAAACAAGTTACAGCCCATTGATTGCTTTAAAAAAAAGCATAGTTTAGTAAGATAGTTTAAAAATGGGAATGTTGTTTAAAATTTCCTGGAATTTATATGGATTTATAATAAAATATATTATGTGGGATTTGTGCAGAATTCCCTGTTTTAGAATTCGTTCTAGAAATAGTTGGAATTATTCTACCACATTTGACATCTTAAGCTTCAGGGAGTGTCTGGCTGATCAGATACGAGAAAAAATTATGAGAAATTGAATGACCTAATGGAGCATGTTAACATTTCATTGACTTCACTGAGATTTTACAAGAACTTGTCATTTTTCAAAGACAGTGATATCACATCACAATTTTAATTGTCACCAACCTGTTATAAAAGAGAATTCAGAATCAGTGGGCATGTCAAAATGATACTAACCAATAAATTTGTTAATAAATGCAGTGAAGAATTTGATTAAGAAAAAGTCAGCAGTTAAGAGTGGTCTACTCTAGGTTAACTAATACAGAGGTTTCCTGTATCTGTTAAGGCTTGCTGGTATAATTTAGTGACCAAGTAGTATTCATTTTAATGAATTGGAACTATCCTAAGAACAGTATATTAATTAAATCATCTGGAGTCAATGATGGGTAGATATCTGCCTTAATGTAACATCATGTTCTGAAGCAAGAGATGTACAGTTCTCCAGACAGATCACTATTTTCATAACAGGAACAGATCTTGCATTTTTCAATTCTTCTTTGAATATCAGGAATGAGAAACTATGAAGACATTGCAGCTTGTGTTATAGACATTATCACAATCTTCAGGAATTAATACATCCATCCATCCATCCATCCATTCATTCATATTCTTTATTGCAGTTAATGGCCAGTCTATGAAACATAATGAATATGTTAGTTTAGAAATCTGCAAATATTAGCCTTAGTAGAAGCAAAGAACAAGCTACTAAGCCATATTGTTCTAAGAAACTGGGAGCTAAAAAGCAACCTAAAGGATTAGCAATCAAAAGTGAATGATGCTGAGAATCTTTTTCCTTCGTACAAGCAGTGCTTTAAAAAAAAAAAAAAAAAAAGGTGCCGGAACTCACACATGTCATACAACCCACCTTGCCTACCCTACAAAGTTCCATCCAAAAAAGGTGCCGGAACTCCGTTCTGGGCGTTCTATGACAAAAAAAGCCCTGCATACAAGAATCTAAGTTGGAGGACTCATCCCAATGTTAGTTAAATCTTAGTAGTCACATTTGTGCCCACATCTGCAAATTGCAGGACCCCAAAAGAACAAAACAAAGCAGAGACTTTGTAGCTCTGCCTAGCATTCATATTCCAAACTGTCAGTCAGATACAACTTTTCTCAGGTGTGTTGATAAGAGCCTGAGATTTCTATCCTGTGTGTTTTACCTGTGGTGCTAAGGAACATCTCTAGAGTATTTAAAAATACAAAGCATGTGGCAGTAGTGGCAGTTGACTTAGAGGAGACAGGTCTGGGAAGTGCATGTCATACACTATTCAGATTATTATTCAATAGATCCATGTTAAAACGAGTAGGAGTGGTTATTTTTAGAGGCCTCTACTTTTTTTTATCCACTAGGGCTTTACTGTCAAGTTACTAAGGGAAAGGCCATCTTCTTGGAATATTTGTCTTTACAGCATCTCCAGAAACTTTGGAGGAGTATATTCCACAGCAATCAAGGATTATTTATCCTTATTTAATAGCTATGCATGAAATCACAAGAAGGCAGTTGGTAGAAGTAAATGGAAAATCACTGAGAAATCTTTATTTCTTCCCTGAAAGTATTCTTTATCATGATGACTCACGCACATGGGTTATACATCTAAGCAGAGCTCACTCAGAATCTTCTCAAGCTTATAAAAATGTCTTGCCAAAAATCATGGGCCTGTGTTCTTTTGAGATCTGAACATAACTGTACTCTCCTTTTCCAAACAGTAATTGAAAAGTCATTCCCTTTCACTTTCATTGAGATCAGTATATGTTTTTAGTTTTTTGGGGTCCATCCTAGACCCTGTGGATTTTTCAAAATGGATTGTTGCAGACATCAGGTTGTGTTATGAGCCGAGCAACCAAAAGTGCCCTCTTTTGATCTGTGGTCACTTTGCAAGAGCTAGGATTCCATCTGCACCCTTTCTACATTAGATTTTCCTTTCATAATTATGTAGGACAACTTCCTATCTGTATCTAGCATTATCATCTGGATTTTGATTCTCAGAAGGATGTAGCTTTTAGAGCTGCAGTCCTTTGTATTGTACCTTATGAGCACTAAGCCCCTCTAGATAATAGGCCAGCTATTCACCCATGAGTGTATGATCACAGAGACCACAGTGAAGAACTGATTACTTATCTGTAACTGAAGTTTTTTGAGTAGTTATCCATGAGTTCACTCAACCCTCCCCCCTACCTTTTGTTCTGGGTGACCTCAATATTTCTCTTAGAATTCACTATATTGGTTTCAGGCATGGAGGGGATTTAGGGAAAGCTGCACCTAGTCATGTGTGGTATGCAGAGAGCTGCACTTCAGCCAAGACATTCCATATACTTTAGAAGTTTCAGAACAAAGTTTTCTTCAAGATATATTGTGTGTGGATTGGCAGATGATCTCTTCAGTTACATTAAATAACCAGTTGTTTCAAATCAAATTTATAAATTGGGAAAGGCTATTTGTGGGTTTAAAGCAGACATATCAAAATTGCGATGTCATGTGACGTCGCGCAATGTATCGGGACCAGTTTTGCCATTGCCGGCAATGGGGTGGGCGCGGCTTCCGCGTGACGCATCCGGCCCACAGGCCAGCAGTTTGACACCCCTGGTTTAGAGTGAGATATCATCAGCATGTGACTGATGTACAACTGCATGTCTGTCTGTCTGTCTGTCTGTCTGTCTGTCTGTCTGTCTCTCTCTCTCTCTCTCTCTCTCTCTGTGTGTGTATGTGTGTGTCTTTCTCTCTCTGTGTGAGAGAGAGACAGGCTGACTGAAAATGCTACCAAAATCTGTAGGGTATGGAAGCTATAAGGATGTAGATAGGGAGGCACAAAATCCAATAGAGGAAAGTTTAAGTAGCTCAGGATTGAATTGTGGGATTCTTTGTGCTCTCTGAGCTTGTTTGCTTGCAGATGTTTCATTACCTGACTAGGGAACATCATCAGTGCTACTGAATGTGAAATCTGAGTGTGAAGTTTGCTCCCTGTTTATATACAGTAGCAGGTCTCACCAGTATTGGTGGGGTGTGTGGTTTTCTCCTTGATTGTTCCTTCATTAGGGTATTGTTTTCTGATTGCCTGGCATTAGCAGACACAACGTTAGATTATATTCTACTAACGTGGAGATGTTTATTAGTAAGTATCAAGGAATATAAGCCAGTGTGACTGTTGATAGAATTAAGACTCTCCCAAAAGAACTGGCCCATGATTTGGAGACCTTCCTGACCTCAGGGTTCTTTGAAACAGCGGTAGAAAGCCATTGTTATGGTTCTGGCTAATGAAACACTTCAAAGAAATTCCAGGCATTGATTTTCCTAAAAGTAATTTATTGTTACAAAATGTCGGCACAGGCATAACGAAGGTATGCTAAGATCTAAGTTCTCTTCCTCTGAGCAGTTAAATTATCAGCATGTTCCCTCCCTAAATTAGCTATCATATATCACGTTATCCAATTAGTGTGAAGGTCAAAGGTTTCCTTCCTTTCTCTTTCCCGGGCTTTTCCCTCCACCCTCTTCTGCTCTGCATTAACCCTAAAAATACCAGACAGTTCTGCATATTGTCAAAGCAAGAATATACAGTATTTGCAGCGTTGACAGCCATATTCAGGGATCCTTCACCCTGATCTGGATGATATGCAATTTCATCCCTATCTGGACCAACCTACCTATCTACCTGCCGGCAACAATAACTTATGCCCTGCAATAACTTTGTATGTTGGGGTACTTTTGAAGATGACTGAGAACTTGTAACTGGTCCAGAATGTAATGATCATTTACCAGGCTATTGCAAGGTAAAATCTATATTTAGATTACTAAGTATTATGATAGATTACCAGTAGGTTTCTGGGTCCAGTTCAGTCTGCGGTCATCCTTTAGGAAACCTTATGAGCCACTAGCATAGATATGTGACCATGATACTAAAAAAAGATTCTGCCTATCTAGTACAGTCAACAAAAGAGGCCTATTATGATCTCCATCCTGGCTACCAGTATTTGTGGGCCAGGACAAAACAATAGGCCTTTTCAGTAATAGCCTCCAAATTCTGGAGTATTATGTAGCTAACGTTTCATTCATTTAAAAAAAAATCCTTTTATTCTCACAAATCTTTGGCCAATAATATGATTATCATGCAACTATTTATTGTATTAAAAGAATATTTTGTAACATTTTAATTTTCATTACTGGCGCTGCCCAGAATCCTTGTGATTACAGCAGTGAGCAAATATTGTTAAATAAATAAATAACACTCCAATATGATTAAACCATTATTTCCTACAAAAGCAAAAAAAAAAAAAAAAATTCATTGTGACTTCTTTATCTGCTGCTCTAAAATTGTGATCTTTAGATGAAAGATAATGCTACCAGAGTCAAGTGAGATGAACTGCATATAAATTTAATAAAATAAGTAAGTAATTAAAATGCCTGGATTTCTTGACTAAAGTGAGTTTTTACTTTCATCCCGTATATTTGAATTCCGGAGCCTAGAAGATAAGTTTCTTACAAAACTGAGGCAGCTGTAGATAGAACAAGATGTGGTTTGGAGAGATTTCTTTTGCTCTGTACAAGTCAAAATCAACAAAAGATCATAGAACGGAGTCATTGTATTATAGAAAGTTTCACTCTCTCCTTTGGATTTGTTCCAGATTTGAACATTTTTCTCATAGGCAAGAAAGATAGCTTAGGAATTTTGTTGCTATACCGTACCAAAAGATGGTCTTGAACTTACTGTTAAGGCTCCCTTGGTCCTAAAGGAAGCATAATATGTCTACTGATGATACTATATGGGAAGAAAGTACAACCTTTTGGCCATTAATTATAGACCTATCTGAAATGCAGCTCAGATTTGACATACGGTTGATTTTGTTTTCAGGCTTTCCAATGAATTAATACAGGTAATTCTCAACTTAAGATCATAATTGGAACCATTGCTAGGCAAGGCGGTTGTTAAGCGAGTCACAATATTGTGAGCTTTTGTGCCAGTGTGGTTAAGCGAATCACTGCTGTTGTTAAATGAATCACAAAGTCATTAAACAAATCCTGCTGCCTCAATGACTTTGCTTGAAGGAAACCAGCTGGGAAGGTTGCAAATGGTGATCACATGATCCCGGGATGTTGCAACTGTTGTAAAATACATGCCAGTTGCTAAGCAACATTTTGGACACATGTCTGTAGGAATGCTGCAGTGTTCACAAGCGTGAGGATTGGGCATAAGTAACTTTTTTCAGTGCCGTTTTAACTTTGAATAGTCGCTAAACGAATAGTTGTAACTTCAGGATTATGTGGATTTATAGGAAAAATGAACCTAGATTAATCTATAGCTATGTTCAGTCACTTGCACCTTAAATTTGTAGTGATATTTCATGCAGGTTACATTTGCAATTATAATTTATATAATCTTGCCCCTCTTCTTTTGGGATAAACCAGCAGGTTCAGTATGCATCATTAGAGAAAACAGATTGTTTTACTACCAATGGAAAAGCTATTGGGTCAATTCCTTTCATTTGTTTCTTTTGAGTTTGTATTAACCAGCAGTATGAAAATAATTTAAAATCTGATTTGCAGGAATGCTCAGGGAAGCGAATGTTTGGAGGAATATTTCTTTCTTACCCCTTTATCTGTTACTATGACAATAAATATGATATCAAGAAGAGCCTCCAGAGAGCAAAGAAAAAAGTGCAAGGTATGATATATATATATATTTAGTGATCTTGTTCTTTTTTTAAAAAAATCTCTTAGCCAGCTATTATGTTTACTGCCTCTTTTAACTTATTTAGATTAAGATGGGTAAGTTTTCCAGAAGGTTTCATATGGTCCCTAGCACCCCCACCTGCAGCCCCCCCCCAATAACCCAAGATCATGCCAAAATTTAGTGACAAAATAGTCAATGTCTGGTGGCACAATATTTTTTAAAAATAAAGCTAGAATAAGAATAGGTTGCCTCTGACTAATTTGTTTTTATTTCTACCTTTTAAACCTTCCAAACTCAATGCGAACCTCAGTCATTTTTCTTGCAAATTTTGAGAGCATAACCTTGAGCTGTTTGGTGAGAATTTTAAGGATGGAAATGGAAGAGTTTCAGATGCCAAAATGCCAAATGTTCCAATTTGCACCAAAAAAAATCCACCACAGATCCATTAAAAATGCAAATAAATAAACAAACATCAACCTGATTTTTGTAACAGACACTCAGGACTTCCGAAAGGTCAGAAGGCCAAACTGCAAAGTCCAGTTCCTCATAGATTGTAACCTCTTCTCTAAAAAAACAATATTTCATGTGTGTACTATCTGATCTCGATGTTCTAGGTGGCTAACAATCTCACAAAATAAAAACATCAACATTAACAAAAAGATTTGAGAAGGAACCCCCACTCAGTGTATCAAAACGTAGACTGAAATTAGAATTAAAGCTGACCAAATCACTGTAGAAAAAGTTGAAAGGATCACGCACCTCGGTTCTAATTTACATGAAAGCTGGGACATGACCACTGAAGTAAAAATAAGGATAGAGAAAGCTCAAACAGCATTCTTCAAAATGAAAAAGGTCTTCTGCAGTCACGACATAAGCCTAAGATTGAAAATCAGGCTTGTCAGATGTTGTATTTTTTCTATCCTGCTCTATGGAGTAGAGAGTTGGTCTCTAACAGAAGGCCACCTGAAGAGACTAGAAGCATTTGAAATGTGGATTTCAGGCGGTTGACAAGATCAGAAATGAGGTGATAAGCCACCTGGGAAAGCCAAGGGAAATCAACAAAACAATTAAAAAACGAAAGTTAGAATATTTCGGACATGTGATGCGACACCCAGAAAAATATGGCATACTCCATTTAATCCTACAGGGAAAGATTGAAGGCAAACGAGGTCCAGGCAGAAGAAGAATATCATGGCTTCAAAATCTAAGGGACTGGTTTGGACAAAACTCAGCAGCACTTTTTTGTGTGGCTGCTGATAAAAACAGGATCGCCAACATGATCGCCAACGTCCGATAACGGATATGGCAGAAGAAGAAGAAGAAGAAGAAATCACTGTAGAAAGGGTATTCCAAAATGTGGGGATAGCTATCAAAAAAAGCACACTTTCAGTTGCAATCTTGTAAGAATAGATCGTATAGTTGTGGGAATTGATTGGGTTGAGTTGGATGGACAGACAGATGAATACGAGTGAAGGCAGTCCCTTAAATAGTTAAACCAGAACTATTTAGGGCCTTAATGATGACAACCAGCATCGTGAATTGCATCTGGAAACAAACTGGCAACCAGCTCAGCTCCTGAAGAAGCAGGGTCACCCAGGTGTACCAGGTTATATGTATCTTCCCCAGCTATTGATTCCAAAATTTCTTCAAGAGCAGCCCCAAGGTGAATACATTACAGCAAAGGAAAAAGGAGATGACTAGGATATGAGCGATTATAAGCAAGACTTCCCAATCCAGGTATGTCCACAAATGGTGGGTGGATATAAAAAGGATGCAAAAGCTTTCCAAAAGGCTTTCCACAAAATCTCCAGATTGTGAACTACCACTGAATGGGGGAAGACATCTTTGTTCATTACCACAGCCATTCTGTCTTGAAGATATTCAGCCTGAATCTGTTCTTCTAGGGATTGAGTCAGAACTTCTGTCACATTGCATGTATGCCTCAGGGCCCAAATATATGGCTATCAGCTTTTGAATGCCGGAGTATCATTAGCGGGAACAGCTGTATTTATTAAAGCTTTGGTTCAATATATCTATACAATTGTTATACTGGGTACTGTTGGCTGCTATGGTGATTGTGCCCATCAGGGACAAAGATGCTAAGAGAGGAGGAAATATATATTTATATGCTCTCCCCTCCCCAAGATGAAGTCCAACTTCCTTCTTCATAGCGGTCCTTCAGATAGGGTTTGTTGATCATCTTTCCCCAATAGGAAATTAGTTACTTTAAAAAGAGCTGCTAGGTGGCATTTGGCAAATGCAATCAAGACAGCAAAATATCTCCTTTCTGCTATTTGAATCAAACTGTGTAGACTCAAATATCATCCAGTCAGACTTGTGATGGGTGGTCTTCCAGCAGTACTTATTGGTATCTCCTGCTTCATCTCCTTAAGCTCCTTAATAAATCAAGGATCTGCAGTGAACCTGTGAAAAGGAAATTTTTTTAGCTTGTTTGTAGGTTGTCTCCTCTCAGGATTGTCACTCATGACTTTCAAAAATAAAGTTAAATTTGTCCAACATTTGCTTAAAATATGTGTTTGCATTTTATCAAAGATTACTTGATTTCAAAGGTATTCTAATTTCTAATTATTTTATTGGAAGATTTATCCGGTTTTGGTATCAAATATTTGATTTGAAGTTTCACACTCTGAGATCAAACATATAGGTTTAGCAGAATGTTATAGACTGGAATTGCCATGGGTATTTCATTAGTTTTAGGTGTCTTGTTCCATTATCAGTCTGCTGGTCAGTGTGCTTTTTACAAATTACCTCTAAAATTGATAGATATGCAAGGCTTTATTATTTTTTTACATTTATTTAATTGCAAACAGGATATAGATTGGTTTTTCTAAATCTAGATATTAGGGAGGTAACAAATACAGTGTTCTGTATTTTAAGTGAAGTATCATCAAGTGTTTTTATTTTGCAGAACTTCAGAATGCTGGCCTTCTACCCAAGACTCTAAAAAGACCACATACAGATTATGATCAAGAAGAACACAAACATAAGAAAAAGAGGGAAGTTTGGAAGGAGCATGGCAAGAGGGGAGATCACAACAATCTAAGGAAAAAATCTCATGCAGATCTAATCAAAGAAAGGAAGCGTAAGAAGGAAGCTCAAAACAATTATGCGATAGAAGAGTGCTTTCCTAGAGGTGGCCACATGAATGCACATAAGAGGTGCAAAAGGAAAACTCCTCATCATCAAAGTGTTGGCTTTCTGGCAGATGGCAAAACTGAAAATCAACAAATTTCTATGGGTTCAACAAAAAGGCAGAAGAGAAAGAAAAAGCAGAGGAGCCACACAAACAATAGTTGCGCCAGGGATGAAAGTTTATTTCTTATCAAACAGAAGAAAAAGAAAACCACACCGAAAGCCAGCTTGATCTGAGATGGAGCTTTATTCCTTCCACAAAATGCAGACTGGGCTATCACAGCACAGAGAGTGTATCAGTAACCATTCCATAAGGAGAGCATCTTGGTTTGTAATGACAAGTTATTTATGCATTAGAGATACATTATTTGTTAAATGTTTTCACAATTCCTGGAATATTGGATGAAATATAGAGGTAGGAGGTGGGGAGTGGTAAGATGAAAGCATTTTTTTTAAAAAAATAATACATATCCTCAGTTGCATACACTCTTTTTGTAAATCTATGTCTCAAAATATTTCTGCTTAATGCATATAGTTTATTTGCATGCAAACTTTAAAGGAAACGTAGACAAATTGACAGGTGACCTAGGTATGGATACAAAAATAAATGGAGGTAGCGATTTCACCTGTTTAATAGAAGGGACAAAAAAAAGGAAGAGCAAGTGATTTGGATTTACAGGCCTTATGAAGGCCTAGCGGTATCATGTTTCCTCTGTTGATTTGTTTTGAAAAATGTACGGAATAAATTTAAGCAACAGAGAAGGATGTTATACGAGAAATATTATTTGCTTCCTAATTTATTTTCCCGACAGAGTGTTTCAGGAGGTGGCCATCTTATGCCACATTCTTAGATATGATTATCCTCAAATTTGTCATAGATGTAGCACTATAATTTGACTTGACAGTCCAGGTAAGTCTTTGTTCAAGTGAGAAAGCGTAAAATGCATTGAAGTCTAATTTTTAAAGTATATAATCCCGGATGGCTTTTTTATGTTTCTGAGAAATAAATTATTTTATAACTCATTTTATTAAAGTTAGGTATTTTTGTACTTTGAATTGCAATTCGAAATTTATGTCTGAAAAACATTGCTATGTCTAAGGGGAAAGTAACCATTTGGATGCCCGATTTTTGTTTTTTCTTCTTCTTTCTTTAATACTGTCAATTCATGTGACCTCCAGTGAGACTTCGGCTTCCCAAACATGCTGCTTTTTTCACTTGTTAATTTCTATGTCCAAACGATGTATTTTACATAGGGGGTTGATTATTAAACATTAAAATGTTATTTTTATACTGAGTCTGTTTTTTTTAGCATGTTAAAATAACAAGTTCATCAAGATACGATGATAATAACAGAACATACCGCCTTTGTCAGGCACAAGAAATCAGGAACCGAGATTGTTCAAATGAGTACAAGTCTAATCCATGCTAGCTCTTTACAAGAATCTGAACTACTAAAGATCAAGGCAAATTGGCAGTAGATGAGCGTGGGGCTGGACTTAGATCTCTTGTGGGCCTGAAGGGACTCCAAAATTGATGAACGTGTTTGACCCCACTCTTGGACTCAACCTGATCATCTCCTACATCAGGGGTCTTCAAATTTGGCCCTTTTATGACTTGTGGACTTCAACTCCCAGAATTTCTCAGCCAGCATGCCTGGCTGAGGAATTCTGGGAGTTGAAGTCCACAAGCCATAAAAGGGCCAAGTTTGAAGACCCCTGTCCTACATCCTTAGTACTATTGCCCGGAACATCTAATGAGTAACCCATCCACACTACAGTCTGAGTTAACAGGATTTGGTATATAAATAAAATTGCAATTGTAAGTATGCCATAGAAAATTTACAAAAGAAAGACGCTCTGTAGGAATAATAATGTAAATGTTCTCTTTTGCAAGGTGGAAGTGAAATTCAAAAATTATAGATGAAAGGATCCGGCTTTGTAATTAATGCTTGAGAAATAATTCAGCTGAGCACAAATATTGGCAGGACAGCATTACACTACCCAATAGTGAAACATGAATAGCCACATGCAGAACAGAATGAAGGGAAATCCAGTTGAATACAAAGAAGTGATATCATCAAGGTAGGATGATGAACTGCATCATAAAATGAATATGGGACACTACGATTCTAATTTAAAAAAATAGAATAATCCTTTACAGGTCTGCTTTTGGTCACTATCTGTTTTTATCTATTCAAATCAATATTATCCCACTAACACAGGGGTCTTCAAACTTGGCCCTTTTATGACTTGTGGACTTCAACTCCCAGAATTCCTCAGCTAGGAATTCTGGGAGTTGAAGTCCACAAGTCATAAAAGGGCCAAGGTTGAAGACCCCTGCGCTAGCGCATTAGAAATGAGTATGAATACGTTTGTCTTTTTAAAACTCTCAGTGTTTACCTCGAAGGTGTCTGAGTTTAAGTCCTTATCTCTGGAAAAAAGCATTGCAGAGATGCACTCAAAGTCTGACTGCAAGTATATCAGAAGAGAAGAAACGGGCAGAGCTTGGGATCTAGAATTCTTTCCAGTCCTATTACCAGCAGTGGCCTTAGCAGCCGTAAGTATTTTCTTCTGTATTACGGAGTAGCACATTGCATAAGCATAGTATATGTTTCTGCTTCCTTGTCTTCATCTGTCTATATGATCCTATACACAGGGAAGCACATATTCTCCTCTGGATCTGTGACCAAAAGGGGAGATGGGAGCTTAGACTAAGAGCAGTTGGCAGCACCCTCAGTTGCTTCCTAAATAGGAAGCCTAGGAGTATATTTAGGGGTGGGATTTTTTTCTCCACAACCCCAGTTCTGTTCTAGCTCACTTTCAAATTCAGCCTTTTGTTGATTTCTCTCTCCTCCTCCTCTCCCTGTGGTCCTGTTCTTTTTTCAGAGTGGAAGGTCAGAAGGATAGACATACTGCTCCTTTTGTATATTTTCTTAATAGAATAACAGAGTTGAAAGGGACTTTGAAGGTCTTCTAGTCCAACCCTCTGCTCAAGCAGAAGATCCTGTACCATGTCAGAGAAATGGCTGTCCAATCTCTTCTTTAAAACCTCCAGTGATGGAGCACCTACAACTTCTGTTCGGCTGATTAATTGTTCTCTATCAGGAAATTTCTCCTTAGTTCTATGTTGCTTCTTTCCTTGATTAGTTTCCATCCATTGCTTCTTGTTCTGCCTTCAAGTGCTTTGGAGAATAGGTTGACCCCTTCCTCTTTGTGGCAACTCCTGAGATATTGGAACACTGCTGTCATGTCACCCCTAGTCCTTCTTTTCATTAAACTAGACATACCCAGTTCCTGCAACCGTTCTTCATATATTTTAACCTCCTGTCCTCTAATCTTTGTTGCTTTGTTTCAACATCTTCCTAATACTTTTATTAAGTTGGAAAAAATAAAAAAGCCTGCTGCTGAAGTAGGAAGAAGGAATGATAAGGTTTTGCAGAAGGGAATTGTTTGAACTATGGAATGTGTGTTTGTGGGAGAGGAGAGCCTTCCTTCTCATTTCCTCCCCTTTTTTATTCATTTAAAGGATAGCAAGAAGCGATTTTAGCCATGCTGTAAAAGAGTCACTGATGATGATACCTAATTGGGTAATGAAACATGTGCAAGAAAAGAAGCATACTCAGAGAGCATCAAGGACCACACAGCATCAGTTTCCCAACTTCAAGCTTCACAAATTGGTTTGCATTCTTTTGTGGGCAGATTTCCAATCCCAACTGAAAACCTGGCACAAGTCTAATGCAAAAGTCCAAAAATGAGCATTTTTTTCTTGTTCTCTAATTTTTAGTCTCAGAACAACACTAAGCATATCTTAATTAGTTACGATATATGCTTAATATATATGTGTGCCTAGCTATATATACCCTTCTTGTTTCTAAATTCTAGAATTACCATTTAGATTTTTAAGAAGGGATTACAGAATTTAGTGGTCATTTTCCATGTCTCACAATTAGAGCAAAATACAAATAACTTTATTGCGGTCATTCACCAGCAGACACAACTAGGGCAATCAGCATCTGGCCTGGATCTAGCTGATGATGCTTGCTCCTGGGGAGGAAAGCTATGGCAAATCTAGACAGCATACTAAAAAGCAGAGACATCACCCTGCCAACAAAAGTGTGTATAGTCAAGGCCATGGTTTTCCCAGTTGCAATGTATGGCTGTGAAAGTTGGACCATAAGAAAGGCTGAGCGACAAAGAATTGAGGCCCTTCAACTATGGTGCTGGAGAAGACTCCTGCGAGTCCCTTGGACTGCAAGGCGTTCAAACCGGTCAGTCTTAGAAGAGATCAACCCCGACTGCTCTTTAGAAGGCCAGATCCTGAAGTTGAAACTCAAATACTTTGGCCACCTAATGAGAAGGAAGGACACACTGGAGAAGGGCCTAATGCTGGGAAAGATTGAGGGCAATAGAAGAAGGGGACGACAGAGAATGAGGTGGCTGGATGGAGTCACTGAAGCAGTAGGCGTGAGCTTAAATGGACTCCAGAAGATGGTAGAGGACAGGAAGACCTGGAGGAACATTGTCCATGGGGTCGCGATGGGTCGGACATGACTTCGCAATTAACAACAACAATTACCTTCCAACACAGCCCCATTGCCAATTGCATTCACATGTTAAGTTCCATGCTATTTTTTTCTCTTCAGTGAGTCTTCTTTTAGCTCTTGAGCTTGAAGATCTCATGGATTTTAACCTTGCTTAAGAACAGACAAACTTCCAAGTAGTCCCAAACTGGCCAACTCACTAATCACTCTTTATTAGAATTAGGAACAATAGAGAGAGTTAATAGAAAGCTGTTAGATTGTCTATATGGATGCAGAGACGCACAAAGAGTCATTGAGATGCTATGGTGGTGGAAGGCAGGCTCATTACAATCTACTCCAATCACAAATGACACCAGATGACACACATCCAATCTCTGTAAGTCTGGGTAAAAGTATATAAATATTATAAATTCCCAAAGTTTGTCCATAATCACATGAAGCATTAGGAATATTAAAACAAAAAGATCTGAAGGCCATTCATTCAGACTAGTTTAAATTGTTTAAAACCCCGTTGAAGTCAGTTCTCTAAAAAAAACAAGTACATGGATATACATACGTGGTTTTGACTTTGAAGCTCAAGGAGAAGAGTGCTGGTTTTTTTTTTAAAGCAATGTTAATTAGGTCTTTCACCACCTCAAACACTATCCCCAATAATTCTACTTCCTAATCATTCTATAAATGGCGTGACAGTTACCTAAAAATACAATTTTTATCCCGTTCTTTAATGCTTACACTGATTCTAAGCTTAAGGAAGCAAACTTACCCCCATGGCTGAGCAACCACAATCCTAAATCTGTGTCTTAAGAGGTTCTGTTGAATACCAGTTGGATTTTCTATGCACTGTGGATTTTCATTCCACCTTTTAATTTTTACTTTAATTACTAAACTTTTAACAATAGATCAACGTAACTCCAAGCTTTTAACATAATAATATAAATGTTGGGCCTTAAAAAGAATTAAGCTTCCTTTAGGAAACCTCTTTCACTGAAAGCTTCAAGAAATGCCTTTGAAAGTAGTACTTGCATGTGGGTCTATATGTATTTGGGTCCATATGTGTATATGTCTATGGATATTCTCATGTTTTACTTTCTATAGATTAAATAAGAGTCAGTGGACTTTGGGTTTTGATAAAATACAGTTAGCATCTATTAACAGTTTCTGTGTCTACTTTTAAAACTGAAAAGTGCTTTATCCAGTACTTCAAACTTTCTGAGCCATTGTATGTTTACAAGTAATAAAAATAAATTTAGAAATATGTAACATACTTTGCATTCATATGCTCTCTTTTTCTGACAACCATTTATATTCTAATCAGCAGGTATACACCATGGATGTCAGTTTCATAATTTCAAGAACTGAGGTACTAAAAATATTTTTCTATTTGTCTTTCATATTAATAGAATAGATTTGAATATTAAACAAAAGATAATTTTTCCAGTTTCGATTTATTACTTCATAAGTAGTAATCAAAATCCTACTTCATCAAATTCAGACCATTTCTTTGCTTCAGAGAATCCAGTGAGGATATTAAACATTTGGGTCAGAAAAAAAAAGTCTTCAACTCCCTGCAAATATTTGAATTAACCTGGAACATTTGGATATGACATTTTAACAGCTAAATATATGCTTAACAAATATTGATATTGTAAATGTGAAATATAAACCTATTTCCTGACTAGCTCAAGGAATTCCTTCCTTTAATAATTTAACTTTGTTCTATGTATATATTGCATAATATCTTA